ATTAAACAAGGTCAACAGCTAAAGAAATCAGACTGTATCATTGGTGATGAGCATGACACAATAAAACTCACTCTCTGGGAAGACCTCATTGACAGAGTAGAATGTGGAAAAACGTACACATTTAAGAATGTTAGAATCAGAGTATTTGATGACGTTAAATATCTATCTACAAATACTTCAACATCAATTGAACCAGCTGATCGAGAAATCSATGACATAAACTTAACATCTGAGCAATTTGCTGAAARTATTATCGAGGGACGGTTTATCGGTGCCACTGTGAAAGCAGCAAAGTCTTGTGTTGTATGCAACACCACGCTAAACCAAGATGATAGTGAAGATGACATGATRACATGTCCCCTGCCAACTTGCSAAACAACTATGCTCTTTTCAGAATGCCAAACAAAACTGGYTTGCAACTTAACTGTCAAGAAAACTGATGGCAAAATGCAGATGTACACATGCTTTAATGATGGCCTGCAAAGTTTTCTCATCTCCATCAACAAAGGCGACACTAGAATAGATGACTTATCACCTAAAGAACGGAACAAGCTTTTCTTAACTGCTGGAACTAAGCAACTTATTGTGGATAATTCAACCTCTGTCATTCATCAGGTTCTCCTTTAGACCTCAAAACACGTCGAAGGTATAAACACTACAGAAAAACATTTATTTGCATATTTTGAGTTTTTGTTGAAGTACAGGCATAATGTCTGATATTCTCTGCTTTTCTTGTATAATACAGAGAAATTCATTCAAAAAAGTTAAATTTAGAGTTCCTTTAGTTGTAAAACCGGGACCAGCATTATTGTTCTTGTTCACATTGTATCTAGATGACTGTGTACAATGTATTTGCTGATATTCAACTCATATTGATCATATTGTATAAGCCAAAATCTAGTTATTGGTCAACCAAGTCCATCCATGATATATTGTTTCTAATCAACAAACATTTCACAAGTATATTACAAAATAGAGTGAAAGTACATATTATTTTAAAGGGATTTTATTGAATAT